AGAATGTTGCCGATTCTGTTTGCAGGACGAGGTTCTGACTCCGGACTGAGGATGTAAATAAATTTTTTATTTCAAGACAGAAAGAAGCAGAATAAACCCTGACAGAACCACCGTCAGTTCAGGTGAACTTCAGTTCGGTTCAGTTCATCCTATTGGTTCCTCCTGTCAGCTGACCAGCCAGCTGGACCAATCACAGCAGCAGAAACCAGGAAGCTGGTCCCAGACCAGCGTCTCCCTCCTGCTGCGGCCGTTTCTCACAAAGTTTCATTATTGATCAGTAACACACACGCACTGTGATTAATGCTAATTGGTGCGTGGACGGGCAGAGCTTTAAATATTTTCTTCATTGGTGTTAAATCGTGTCTGAGCTCATTAAAACAATAGATTCTGGTTTTAACCTTTAAGCTAGCTGACCCTCTGTTGTCCTTCTGTTGTTATTGGCTATTGCTTTAGCACTGGCTTGCAGGCGCTAGTGTTAGCTTGGAGGCAGACGGTGGGGGTTTGTTTGTTCGCTGATGACGTGCTGCTGTCCAGTTCTGACCCACAAACCCAAACTAGAACCTGTAATGTAGAGAAACATCAGGCTGCAACGCTAACTGGGAAAAGTGAATGAATGTCTCCATGGAAACAGGTAGCATTTGCTAATCACGCTGCTTTGTTAAAGAGAATCAGCCCACAGCATCATACATCCTTCTCCGTGTTTAACAGCAGGCATGAGCAGCTTTCCCACGTCTCCTCCCTTCAGTCTGCAGCAGGAAGGACTCAGTCTGACCAAACCAGCCGCCTACGGCTCAGAGCTGATGGACCGCTGACTGGTTCTGGTTCCACAGTTCGACCTGTTATCCTGGTTCTGGTTCTGACTACAGGCCGATCCAGCTCTGCTTTACCTCATTCTGCTGATTCTCCCAGACCTTCATCTTCACTCTGTAACCTCTGCAGCGTCACACAGCGAGTGTTGAGAGGGCAGATCAGGTCACGACTCAGTGTGTGTGTGTGTGGAAAGGCGATGCCTGCTATTGGCGGCTGGTTGAATTATTCACATTCCTCTGCGGTCGTCTTCCCCTCTGAAACCTGAGGAGCAGGCGAGCTGCCCCCCTCCCCTCAGCACCCTAGGGGAAGAACCCAAGCTCAGACCACAACAACACAGCTCACATGTGGGGGGCAGATTGCTCAGATGATCCAAACCACAGGCAGCAGGAATCAAACATGGTGTCAGGAATGATGCTGATGCTGCGAAGCTGCAGGAACTGCTGGGTAACGGAGACGTGGGAGGAAGAGGAGGAGGAGGAGGAGGAAGTTCAACCAGGAGAACAAGAAGAGGAAAGAAACAGAACAGCAGATACAATCAGAGCAGAAAATCTGATAACATGTTGATCTGAAACCCAGCAGAACCAAGTCACTGTGACTGGACCAAAGCAGGCTCAGATGTTATAATGGCCTAGTCAAAGCCCAAACCTCCAACTGTGAAATGAACATTCTAACCGTGAGAAAGGTGTTCGCTGTGACGCATAAGACGTGTTCTGCATCATTGTTTCTACTAAAACAACCGTCATGGTTTCTCTTTGGCAGCCATTTTGAAAGGAAACGGCCATCTCCAACCTCAGAGGTCCAGTTGCTTTCAGGTGCTGGACTTTAGTCAGGAAACATGAGAGTGAAGCAGCCTGGGTTGTTAGCTTTAGCATTTTTATTTTTATGTGGTTGCATAGGAAACGCACATTTTGCTTTCAGTAAGTTGAGTCTGAGCGGACATGGCGGCGGTGACGGACAGACAGACAGACAGAACGACCCGGTAGAACAGAACCGGCCAAATGAAACACTGGACATCAGGTGACACCAGGTCGGCTCAAAGTGCCGCCTTGCTGTTGAGGCACGAGGTATCGGTACGTTTCAGGTGAGGATGGACGGAAGGGCTGATTGAGCTGGTTTCCATGGTGATTCAGGCAGTGAGCAGGGAATGATGGGAAACGGTGTGGTTCTGCCTCTCCAGCCTCGCTCAAGGGATTATAAAGCTCTCCTTCCTAAAGATTGTCGTTAGCTACGCATAGCGCCACCTCCAGGGCACCTGGACAAAGGCAACGAGACGATTCCTTAAGGCTGATCAAACTGATTATTTCACTGGTGATTGGTTCAAACGGTTAAAAACGTCAAGAGCCTGGAAAACAGGAGGGCAGTTTGGAAAGACTGTAAAAACGAATCCCTGGATTCAGTTATACAAGAGATTTCAACACAGTGTGGAGTAAAGCCTGATGCTAATATTTCTATTCTATTCTATTCTCCTAAAGGGCAATGTCAATGCTCTGCTGGCCAGCCATGTTTTGTTCCACTTCCATCCATTTTTGTCCTGATAAACCTTAAAACTTGCTTGAGTTCTCCAGTTAGCCTTCTGATCAGCAGCAGTGAGTTGGAAGTTGAAATGTTTATCATCACTAATTGATGATAAACTCTCACTAATGTCATTGGCAGTGACTAGTACTTGTTCCAAAGCTAATGCTAATTTTAATACAAAATTGTCTTATCTTCTGCCAGGCTGCTAACGCCAAAAATTAATATGACAATAGGCTTTTAACCTTATTATTGTAAAGTTTTGCTATGGTGGACCCCGTCTATTTGGAGAGTCATGGAAAAAGTACATTTTTTCATATTCTTTTTGCAGACCACATCTAGAATATTTAAAAGAAAATGCATCTTGGGCAGCTGAAGTACCTGATACAATGCTTCTTGACACAAAACTGGAGCGCCATTTATTTTCCTTGGCACTGATTGTCTGAACCCTCAAAAGCAGAAATAATGAGGACAGTTTGTTATGTTCTGAAGTAGTACTATGACGGGACTAATGCAAATTAAGGTAAATTTAGCTTTTGATATTGAAAGCAGGCAGTTAAAAGAGTTTAGAGGGAGTCTCAAGTATTTATAGATTTTAACTTTACAAGCAGCTGTGGACCACAACTCCTTGAAATACCAGGGGTTCATGGAAATCTTACTGATCTGTTCTACTACCACTTACCACAACTAATTAACATGCTACTAATGTCCACAGCTAGTTACTGGAATTTCTTCAATATTAGCATGCTAAAGGTAACAGCCAGCTGGGTTTTTTTTAGTGTTAGCAGGGTAATGCTAGCATCCAGCTAATTATTGTGAGCTAATTATTGTTTGTTACTAATTCCTACTTTTAAGTAAGTTTATGTAATATTTGCTAATAACATGTGAGCATGTAGCAAATGTTCACACTATTTCTTATAATTTAATTGTATTTTTAGTGCTTATGCTCACAGCTAATGAATTTGGTTTTCTTCAGAGCTAGTGCTAACACTATTGTCCCCATCTAATTAACACATGCTTAGGAACTGCTATTAATCACAACTAATAGTTTTAGCTATATTATTAATGTTAACATGCTGATACTTCCACGGCTGATTATTTGATGATTTCATTTAGCATTAAGATACAAACGCTAGCATCAACAGTTACTTAATGTAATTTTATCTATTAGTAATCTGCTAACACTTATATCTATAGGAAATGAATGTTAGTTTTAGTGTTACTAATCTCTGCTGCTAAGTCTATATACAAGTCACTGTGTTAACATGCTACTAATGTCCATACTAATTATTTTGATTTGATTCAGTTTTAACATGCTAATGCTTCATTTCACAATTAATGTGGTTTTATTTATTGCTGATGCTAACACTAATGTCCACAGTTTTTTTAAGGATTTCTAATGAGGATTTCTAATCCTTCCAGCTAATATCAGCTATGTTCAAAATGTTAGCATTTTGCTAATGGACAGTATATTATTACTTATTAGCAGACTAATTTGTTGTCATTTGTGTTAATAAACCAATGGTAACATACTCAACTAATTATTATGGTTTAATTTATTCTTAGCCAGCTAGGGTTAATCTCTACATTTAATCCAATTTTTGAACATTTATTTACTATTAGCGGTCTAATGCTAAAATCTGAAACTAATTTCTAACAAAGAACCCCACTAATTATCAAGAGTTTAAGTTATTGAGGAAGTTTAGTTAATCATGTATTTGTTGAGAATGGTAGCATATGGCTAATTTCCACAGCTATTTAGGTTTTATTCAGTGTTAGCAGGCTCATGCTAATGCTTGTATGTAATTTTATGTTTAGTCAGCCTTGCTAATTTTTTATTAACATGCACAAGTCACTATGTTATCGGTGTACTGACGTCCCAACTCACAAGCTCAGCATGATTTCATTCTGTTAGCATACAAATGCCAACATTCATAGCAAACTATTCAGATCTTATAAGGTTAAGACATTTAATGTAGAAAATATCTTCTGGGAGAGAAATTTAATTATTCAGATTTAGAAAAAAGGATTTTAAAAAAAGCTTTCAAAGAAAATTTCTGCCAAAGTTTCTACATGTGGAAAGCCGCTAAATAATTTATACTGAAGACTTTATAAGCTAAATAGCTAAACATTGGTAAATGTCACACTTTAGTAAATTATGAAAGTATAAATCTTTCACCATGCTTTGCTTTACTACCATAAAGCCTTTTTGACATATTTACTAACATTTTTCATTGATAAGAAATGGATAAATAACCAGGTCATGTACATTTCCCTTTGGGTAACTGATATGTTATCAGCTAGATCCTGGAGTTTATAACATCTTGCTGCAGCTGCAGCAGAAATATCAGGCTAACAATGAAAAGGATGTTAACTCCTCTTTCTCCCGTCAGAGCCTAAGCCAGAGAGGATGAGGAGCATCCCATGGAAACAAAGTGTGGCTATGACCTGGCCATTTAGGCAAATATTCATAATTATATGTCAATAAGACATCTTAAAGTCCGACTCCTGGCCATCTAATGCTCCTTCCTTAAATCTCAAGCACTTTGAAAGAGGAATGTTTGATAGATGTTTGGTTTCTGTAAATTAATCTGTGTCCTCTGAAGAAGACGGAAACGGACAGCTTGCAGATTCAATGGCATTGCCCTTTAAGAAAACAGTCTGGTCATCAACAAAGTTTTCTGCCTGAAAGAGATGCACGAGTTGAAGAAACTGTTGAGTTTCAAAGATGTGAGCAGCATCGACAGGCTGCAGGAGCCACTGGAGGTGAGCTAGACGAGCCGATCGACCCCAGCTGGTCCGGGCTGGGGGGGCAAGACGGAGGCTCCCAGGTACTGCAGCCACCTTCCCTTTAAACCGCTCTGATCCTGCAGGAGCAGCAGCTCGTTTAAAGTCCTGCCAGGGGCAGGGGGTGGAGGGGGGGGGCAGCGGAGGAGTCTGGGGAAGTCAGGCTAGATAATGCTGAGCGCTGCAGAAAAATGGAGAAGCCATCGATTGGTTCTCCTGCAGGAAACAGCCCGGGGAGGAGGTAGGGGGTGGGGCTGTTGGTGTTGGTCAATGCATGCTGGAATGTGTGTGTGGACCCCACAAAGCACTAAGCTACCTTCAGGCCTCATGTGGGAGATTAACAGGAGTGTGTGTGCATATATATATATATATATATATATATATATATATATGATGTGTGTGTGAGGGGACCAGCTGAGTGTTTGCAGATGCTAAAAACAGTGATCTGGAGATTGTCTGATTAAAACTGTGCGAGGCTGAAGGGCTTAGAACGGGTCCAATCAGAGAGGGACCCAGAGTGTGAGTCTCATCCTGATGGCGTCCCATCATGGCAGGGCCCATTGGGGCCCCTCGTCCTGCAGTGGATGCCTGTTAGACGTCCCTTACAGATGGTGGTGAGTTGATGAAGAGGAGGGTGAAGATGAACAGGAAGTTCATTTTTTTCCTACTTGCTGTCTTGCTAGACGCTATGGCAGAGCATGCAGGTTACATCAGGTGATTATTGAACATCAGCTAGAGTCAGAAGGCTACTGGTGTTCCGGAGATATAAACAGGTTCAGGAGAATACAGCTTCACAGGCACTACATTTCATATCTTCATATATGGTGGAGTATGCTGGTTCCTGGGTTCGCTCCACGGCGCCCCCTCTGGAGGAACGTGAAGGCTGTTAGTCAGTGCATAGTTCTCATGCAGATTAGACTGCTGCGCCATGATTGGCTGTGGAGAAGCAAGATGGAGGCACGGTCTAGTCCTCCATCGGTGATCTGTTCAGAAACACCCCGACCCCTGACCTCTGACCCCTGACTGTGCAGCAGCAGCTGGAGAGGGGGCTCCTGTTCCTGGGGCATGATGGGGGTAAAAACTGCCCCTCCGTTTCCTGATGAGGCAGCAGAGCTCCTCTGGGGGAGTGAGGTTTGGATTGGTTCTGGTTCCAGCTCTGGTTCAGCTGTGATTGGACCTGCTGCCCGGTTCATGAGAACCGGCCCGGTTTCCTTTGCACCTCCAAACTAAAGCACCATCTCTGGGTTGCTGATCGGGTTTTTGTATCATTAGATGCAGAAAGAGAAGAATTGATCCGTTAATGGAGACATTAAAGAGAGGATTTACTGATCATTAGAATAATTGATTCCTGGGTGGAACCGTAGCAGGAGGTCCGATCACGGCGTCCCGTCGCTCCGCAGCGGTGGAGGCGTGCAGGAGGAGGAGGTGGAGAAAGAAACAGATGGGAAAGAAAAAAATCATGTTGCATAATCAAGCTGTTTATTGTTCTGCATGGAATGGTGAACAGAAAAAAAGATGCCTGGATGCATTTCTAGTTGGGCATCGTTTGGCCGGCTATGTCTCCTGCCTAACAACTAAACTCCTTCAAATGCAGAAAAATTTTGTTTTCCCTTAGAAGGACTAAATTCAGCTTCATCAACACTGAACATACAGAAACTGTAACATCCATTTACAATGGGGATGGGGGTCACTCTGGGCTGCAGAAGAGCATCAACATAGGAAATGTTCATAAATACATAAAAAAGGAAACTCAAGAAAAAAGGAGGAAACGGGAAAGTTTTCAACTTGGATCCAGTTTCCAGGAAAAAAAACAACCTCCGTAGAAACAGTCAGAAAATTCACACCACCACAGTTTCCTCACTTAGTCATTGTTAAAAAAGTCCTGCATTAGAAAATAGGGCAGCTTTAAAATCAATAAACTATACAGCACTCAGTCAGGGCTCCAGCCAGTAGGAGGCGCTCCCTCTGCCTTCACTGCAGAACCAACTAAATGAACAAACAGCAAACAAACTCGCTGCCCACACTACTGCTCACTCATTGTAGTTTCCTTAAAGATGTCTCAAACGCTCAGCGACAGTCGGATTCAAACCAACTGATCAGATTTTTTGACACTTAAAAAAATGTCCGTACAATTTTCTCATTTTATTCCCTTTAATCGATTCGACCTAGAAGCTGCTTTCCTGTATTCACCATCTCATATTTAGTGCAGATAGATAATGCCCAACTCACAGCTAAAGGCAAGGCAGGAACAGAACTGACCCTCGGCCCTCACAGCCTCAAACCCAACAGAACCGGACAGATCCGTTTCACAGAACCGTCCGCACTCTGACGGATGACAGCTTGGATTTGTTTAAGGTCGGGTTCATGAGACAGCAGCCTGGCTCATCGGACCAGAGCCACCACAGCGGCTGAGTAGGGTCCGGCTTCGATCTGAAGGAAGGAAAACTAACCATAAAAAGACGTGTCAGAGTGCAAGCAGATATTGCATAATTTACATCCGATACTCGGATCAGGGAACAATCAGGCAGACAAACGGGAAGATGTGAAACCTTCCAGCAACAGATGGAAAATTCCCTGGAAAGACGGAGAAGATCACGAAGTGGTCGACCAGAAGGTCTGGATTCAGTTGAATGAGCAGCAAATAGCGCTGGAAGCTGTTTCTGCTGCTCTGCCCCCTACTGGAGCGCTGTGGTAACAACAGGGAGACTCTGGAGTTCTAAAGCTGACCGCCAGTTGGAGTTGGATGTCTGGGCTCCACTAAGCTGATCTCTGCTCCAGAACCAGAACATCCAGCAACCAATCAGAATGCGGTTTATAACTCCATTAATTCTCATCTGAACAGTGGAGGACCAACAAGCTGCTCCGCCCACAAGCTAACAACCCCTTAATGCCTGAATGTCCGAGTGCACAAAAACTTAGACATTATAAATTTGAACATTTCAGACACCATTAGTGTAAATTTAGCTATGATGCTAAATAGCAACACCAGGCAGTTAAGGAATGAAACAGATTGAATTAGGTCAAATTTTTCTTTTTGAACAACCACTGTTTTTTCATCATCATAGTGTTTTAAACACTGTAAAATTCCTTCACAGCAGTCCCATGAAATCAGTTTTCAAACTGATTTTCAGCAGATATTTTTGACCAACCATTTGTTTTTATCCTGCAGTGTTTCAAATAGAGCTAACTACTGAAAAATGTCTTTACTGTAATGTCCTAGAAGCTTGTGTTCCCTAAATCCAGATAAAACAGATATTATACACTTGTGAAAATAATTATTTATTAATGAATATTTATATATATAATAAAAATACTATTTACTTTTTTTTTTTACAAATATATCTAAATTTATATATAGGTTATAAAGACTAGCATCACTCATTTTCATTCATTAGTTGCCGAGTGTTACTAAAAGACTTCAAACACAAATTAGAAATAAATTTTAGAATTTTAAACGTGTGGTCTGTTTTAATATATCATGTATAGAAAACAGTCTAAAAATATATTTTTATTGCACAACCTAGCTGAGGATTCAGATTATTAATAGTTTATCGGCCAATTGCACAATTCCGCTTCCATGAACCGCATGTAGTTCACACTCCGACCACTGGGTGGTATCAGAGCACATCTAAAATCAAACTTGACAAGAGAGGAATAAGTATCAACCAATGTTTGGCTATATATACAACAAGACAGGCATGTAGCTAGTAAGCTTCACTCATTCATCAGGGAGTAAAAATGTTTTAATTGATAATTGATGCAGATTATTATTCTAATATAATTAAAGCAGATTTTTTATGTCTCTTATAATAGAGATAAGTTTGCTATATAAAAAGAGCTTTGTGTCCTATTAGAAACAAAATAGAGCTAAGCTTGCCAGGGGTATAGATAATTATGGGCTGTAGAGCAGCTTGTGGTTTGGACCTGGAGCTGCTTTGGTGGAAAAAGTTCAGCGAACGTTTCCATCTGCAGAACTTCAGGAGATCCAGCCTCAAACACGGAGGAGACCATCTGACCTTTAACCGCCTCCAGAACGAGTTCTTCACAACTTCCTCCTAACAAAACCAAAATTAATCAGCCTACAGCGCCACCTGCAGGCCACGCCACCTTAAAGCTGGTTTGACCACAGGTTGGACATCCTGCTAGTGTTTGTGGCGCAGAGACCAGGATCAGCTAATTTAGACACAGGACAGACAAATTAACATTTTGGATTTGAAGACCGGACCGGTTCTATTGCTGCCAGGAAAACATGAGAGGAAAAGAACCGAGAGTTGTAGGGAAGTGAAGAACCGACAGGAAGTGCCTCATGTTGGAATATCATCCGTTTATCACTAACTACGTCATCTATGGAGAAAACGGCCACAAACACGAACACATGCAGATTTTTTTTTACTTATTTTTATGACTTTTTCCACTTAAAGTCATGTTAACGTCGGGTGTGTGTGTCTATAGATATTTATAGAATAAGAAAGAAAAAACAAACTGAAGAAGAGTTAAAATCTTCATAAATAAACCACGCCCCCTGATGACACACTCACAGCCTATTGGCCAGCTGGAGGAAGAAGTGCCTGTGATTGGATGGAGCCTCTGGAAGACCCAGCCAATCACATGACAGCCCGTTGCCAGGCAGATTATCTTGCCAAACTGATTTGTTTCAAGCTTAAATTGTTGTGATTTGGCCTCAGGAGACATTTTGTTTCCCTGACGCAGAATAAATTTCAAATAAAGGAATCGTTATTCATTCCTATTTGAGCTGAATGAACATCAGTCCTTTGCTCAGAAACTGATCTCTGATTCAGACGTTCTCATATCAAACTACCAGATTATCAAAGAACGACGCGGTTTGGTGGTTTCTCACTGGGTTGGGGATCCCCAAGGCTGCGTGTCGGTTTGTCGCTCAGTGTTTTAGAGTCCCAGGTCTGAGCGGACTACAAGAAAAATATACATTTAGATATATTTAATAATCCAACAACTAGTCAACAAAATTGCACTTTTCCTCATGATTTCACTGTTAAGTTTGAGAGGTGGGGCTCTCCCCTGACTGGCGGCGTGGCTCCGGACCCCCGGGGGTTCGGCCCGCCCTGCGTACGCTGCCTCTTCACCTGGACAGGTGGATGGATGGAAGGAGAGAATGGAGGCTAAAAGAGAGAAACCGATGAGCCATGAAGCCTCCAGAGAAACGAGCGCCTGGTGAAGCGTAGCAGCGAATCCAGACCACCTTCAGGATGCCCCACCCAGAGCCCCCACGGTTAGTTCATGCTGCTCCGCCCCCGGCTCAGCTCCTCCCATCATGCTACCGTCCAAGTCCTGAAGAGAGCTAGGGAAGGAGGCAGCGTCTGTCCCAGGAGGTTTGTTTCAGCTGGTGTCTCTGAGCCAGGTGGCCCCCTGCCAACTCCCGGCTGCAGGGATCCACTAAGGAGGAAGGGGTGGTGGCAGCCTTGAGGGCTTCAAACCACTGCAAGTTCACACGGCACAAAGTGATGGATAGGTAGGTCCTCCACAGAGGAATAACTGGGACTCAGTCTGATGACGTTCCCAGAAGAGGTCGCTTCCCCCGTTGCCCCACAGGTCAGGGATTCAGGGAAAAAGGTTCAGGGCTCAGATCCAGCACTACAGATATACGATCCAAGAGTCTGCAAGGAATTCTGGGACGAACGATTCGCAGCGTGGGAGCGCTTAATCTGCTTTAGCCATGCCGATGCCGAGTCATTGACGGTGGAGCCAGGATCTGCAGGACCGGTGACGGGGTTGACCAGGGACAGCTGGTGTTGGAGGACAGGCTGCAGCGGCTGGCCATAGAGGGCGTCTGCGCCTCCGGAGTCCTTATCCCAGGTACCACTGTGGAGACAGATATAGGGGTCAACATGAGGGTTCCTCCAGACCTCACCAGCTCACATTTCAGACTTCCTAAGGCCATTATCAATGAAATTTAAGGCCTGTATCACATCAGAAATGTACAAAAGAAAATCACACACATATATGAAGACATTTAATTACTTGTGAAATCAACTATATATCTTGTCACATTCTTACTTTAGTTGAAGACATTAATTATTGTTCATTTTAATCTCTTTCCCTATTTGTCAGCATTGGTGGCTCTCCGTTCTTACGAGGCTCTACTCCTTCTCCTGTGCTCCTCTTCCTCAGCCGTATTTCTCTCCACAGTAACAACTCTGGTTGGACTCATTTCTGATGAAAGCTGGACTCCACCAAGGTCACCTTGTGTTACCAATTCTGCCCTTTACGGACTCTTTCTGGCCAAGGCGTTGATCCCGTTTGGGCGTCTTGGGGTCAGATAATGTGGTCTGATTGGCTTCATCAGGCAGTGATCTGCAGCTCCCATTGAATCGGTTTGCCGCCAACATGAGGATCAGCGCCTCCAAATCTGAAGGTCCAGAAAAGGGTAGAGTGCCTTCTCTAGGTTGGGGCAGTTGAGGTTGACATCAGAATCTTTTTCACAAATGATGGAAACACATGGTGAGGTGATCCAGCAGGAGGAGGCCCAGAGGAAGACTAGGACAAGCTGGGAGGAACGTGATGGACGGATGGATGTGTGGATAACTGGACAACCGTTAAAATTCACTGAACCTCTGCCTTCAGAGTTTGTCACACCAAAGGCTGCTGTCAGACCAGTGGCAGTAGAAGCAGCGACTGTTTCTTGGGAGCCTTCAGCATCACCAGGGGAGCCAAACTGTGACCTCTCTCAGGTTTGTTCACAGCTTTGAATGTCTCACTGCATGTGGTTCTGCAGCAATGATGTCCAAAGTGGGTCCTGGAGGCCCGGCATCCTGCATGTTTTAGTCTCTCCCTGGTTTAACGCACCTGGATCAAATGATGGCTCGTTAGAAGGCCTAAGAAGAACACCGACATGCTGAAAAGGTGGTTACTACCACCAGGGAGAGAACTAAAACATGCAGGATGCCGGGCCTCCAGGACCCACTTTGGGCACCACTGCTCTACAGCCTTAAGCCCTGTAAAGACGAGACTTTAGCACAAAATGCACCTAGCATCTTATGTCGTACAGGCAAATAGCAATAAATTTGCATCAATGAGAGATACTAGCTAGCAAGGGTATGTTAGCAGCTACTTAGCGGTAGCCACAACTGCCTCAAGAATGTAATGAAGATGTCTGTAGATGACTTAAACTGAAAAGTCCTGTGAGAAAAAAAAACTACGTACATAGAATATATGAGATTTAAAAATCCTGCCACGACATAGTTTAAGACCCGTGATTAACATTTTTAAGTCCAACTTATATTTTTAAAATTAATTTAAGACATTATAAGGCCTTATTTTTAGCATCTGAGCAGATCTTGGACAAGCAGCTAAAAGTCCCAAAGAAGAACATCTGAAGAACTTCTGATCAAATATAAAACCATCTACTGCCTGTAGGGGGCGCCAAACCCTGGGTGGACCGTGGGAGGGTTCAGACCACCAGACCCATTCCTTTGTGTGTGTGTGTGTGTGTTGTCTCTGATCGGCCGGCATCGATCGCCAAATGTTCACGTTTCACCAATCTCCCCCTCATCATCCTCGCTGCCTGGCCAAGTTCAAGTTCATCTTCGTCTTACATCATGTCTGGTTGCTAGGGACGACCAGACGGCCTGGGACGTGACTGCCATCGCCAAGGAACCCCCCCACCTTTAAACACTCCCTCACTTTACTACCCGTCCCATCTCATCATCCTCACTCCTCTTCCTCAGCATTCCTCTCTGGATCACTTTCTCCTCTTCATCCTGGCATGCACTTCACACACACACACACACACACACACACACACACAC